GCTTCCAATCTCCAGGAGGATCTATAAATGTTTATCTTTGGGTTCACGTTATTACTTAGCTTCTCTAGGATCATGAACTATAGGCTCAATGTCCTTAGGTTATGGCTAGAATCCACTAATGAGTGAGTACATACCATATTCATATTTTTGGGTCTGGGTTATCTCATTCAGGTTTCTGTTTTCTATTTCCATCCATTTGCATGAAAAATTCAAAATGTCATTTTTTTTTTACTGCTGAGTAGTACTCTAATGTGTAATTGTGCCATACGTTCTTTATCCATTCTTCAGTTGAGGAGCATCTAGATTATTTCCAGGTTCTGGCTAATACAAATAACGCTGCTATGAACATAGTTGTATTTTTCTCTGCTCCATTCCATTTCTTTCCCCTCCCCTTCTATCCCTTCTCATGGTCCTAATGCTCCAAGTTTACTCAGGACATCTTGTCTTTTTCTACTTTTTATGTAGATTAGATCCATGTATGTCTCATGATCCTCTTTGTTGTCTAGGTTCTCTGGGATTGTGACTTATAGGCTCTTTTGTGTTTAGAAAACAAACAGAGAAGTAAATAAATATATCAGAATAGAATAAAACATATAGGAAAAAACCCAAAGAAATAAAACAAGATACACACATTCACAAACAGACACCCTCTCAGACCCAGAGATAACACATTTACACACCCATAAAAACACAAAATTGGAAACCATACTGCTTAAACAAAAGAGCAGTGAGGTTAAAACATGCACAGACAAAGCATTAGGAGTCAAAATATCTCCAAAAATACTACTGGTTCATTTTGTTTTGGCTCTTAACTGTATGTGGTTTGCTCTTTTTTAAATGTGGTTTGTATACTCAAAGAGATTCCATTGGAAAAAAAATTTTTTACCTATGTGTGTGGTTGTCAATTAGAGACATCTTCTTGGTTAGAGATGAGAGATCATATCCACTTCCCCCTCTCAGTGCTGGTCTCTACCTGGCGTAGCCTTGTGCAGGCCCTGTTCATGCAGCCACTGTCTGTGAATTTATATATGTGTCAGTTCTGTTATTTCTGGAAGGCATTATTTCACTGGTGTCTTTCATCCTCACTGGCTCTTATAATCTTTCTGCCTCCCCTTATGTAGGGTTCTCTGAGCCCAGAGGAAGGAAGTTTATTGGAGACAGCTCATTTAGGATTGAATGTTCCAAGGCCTCTCACTCTCTGTCCTTTGTTCATTTGTGTGTCTCTGTATTTGTTCCCATATAAGAAGGTGGAAGCTTCTCTGATGATGTTTGAGCAAGACACTATTTTATGGGTATAGAAGAATGTTATTAGGAGTCATTACGTTGGTGCAATCATTTCACAGAGCCTTAGTATTTGGTTTTCTCCAAGGCCTATCTAGCTCCAGGTACTTGGCCACCTGGATAGTGTCAGTCATGAGTTCCATTCTGTGCAGTGGGACTTGAATCCAACCAGATAGTGGTTGGTTGCTCCACATTATTGGGCCACGATTGCACCAGTACATCATCCAGGCAGGTGACCAATGTAGACCAAAGGGTTTATGTCTCTTTACCTTTTCTTCTTTTGGAATGCAGAGTACTTTCTAGTACCATGAGCAGTAGTCCGTAGGGATGAAGGCTCTAGTTAGGCGCCCCAGTCTGACATCTCTGCATTCAAAGGTTGTGTAGGTGTCTTCTTTAGCAATAGAGCCTTACAATCAGTTTGTGAAGAGCAACCAATAGCAAAGCCTTTATGCTTCTTGAATGTTATTATTTATTAATTTCTTATGAAGTTGGATGTAGTGGTCTCTCTTTTTTAAAAGATTTGTTTCTATACACACTGGTTAATGTTATTACAATCATCATTATTCAAGTTAATTAATACAAAACTCATATTTTTCCTAGAAGATTTTGTGCAAATAATCATGAATAATAGGGAAAGAAATCCTATTAAAATAAATCTTTTAATCATTTATTAGCTTCTGAGGAGTCTTTCTTTCAATCGTGACAGTAAAAATTCTTAAGAGAACCCTAGCTTGATGAACCAGCTCTGGAATACATGAATGTTTCTAGATTTTTCAAAAGATACAAAGTTTTTTATTTTATATACGTATTTTAGGGTCTCCAATGCAATCCAGGCTTTACTTCCACAGTTTCACAAATAGTCTCTCAGGGCCTTCAATTGCTTGACATACTTGGACACATTGGCTTTCTGGCCAAGCTTGGCAAGGAACGTGGGCTCCTGGGATCACATTTACAGTAGTTTTGGTTTTCTTCCTTTCTAGGGTCAGTAAATTCTCAAGCATTTTCCTTACACAAGTTGGAAGCTTAGATGGATGGAATCTTTATTCCAGTGCAGATCAGGCCTCCCCTTAATCTCTTTATCTCTCTCATCATAAGCCTTGCCTGCAATATTGTTTCCTGGTGCTCCTTTTCTCTTTAAACTGTACATTTTTATACTTATTTCTCCATTATCTGACCTTTTTCACTGTTGCCCCGCTTATGAGTGGCCAGTAGTAACCAGCTATTGGGTGTAGTGTTGGAGTCCCTACACATAATTAGACAGGATAGGGACATAGGATTTCTGCCAAGAAATTTGCAGGCAATGGGTGATGTCAACCCAACAGAAAATCTACATGGGATCCAGATGGTGATGCAGTAGTGATTGAGTTTTTAAAATCTTTAGGTGTTACATCATGCCACCACCCACTCTCAGTTTCACCAAGATATTAATCACAAGATTAAATGTTTGTTCTTTTGGGCTCAGTCTTGCTTTCTATTCCCATTCTTCCATTTTATTTATGTATGTATTTATTTGTATACAGTGTGTATGTGTTTAAAGGGTTGTGAAATCTTCCATGTTTGACTGAGGCCTTTAACTTTATGCTACTGTATGTCAGATATAGGCAATATCTCATAGTTAAAGATTTTTTAAATTCAAAACTTTGGTGAAATGGACAAATTTCTTATGATACATCCAAGAAAATTCCATGACAGAAATAATTATTTACATACCACTACATTTGATAAAGCATTTGAGTGAGTTGGAAGACCTTATAAAAATAAAAAACTCTAGGTTCATATAGTATCACAGTTTAATGATTCCAAAATTTTAATAAAAAAATTAAACAAGGTTTGAACACCTCTTCCATAAAATGGAGTATTGAGAGTATTAAAACCTGAAAAATGATTAGCCCGTGGCTCCTCAGGAACAGCTAGGCCTCTCCAGTCTTGAGTTGTCATACACAGCTGCTATGATTTTATGAATGCATTTGTGCAAAGCTAATATATAATACTAATTTATGAAGATATTTAAGTGTTTAAAGATATGCTGTTGTGTGCTACCAGAGAATGAATGTAGTGAGTAAAATGTGGATCTAACCCTAATCTTAACGAACAATGAAATTAATAAATTATGTGTAAGTCTCCTTGAATATTCCATGCAAATGTTACAAACGAATAAAGTTGTTTTTTAGATAACTCAACCAGGAATGACATTCACTACTCAGTGTTACCTGAAAAAGAAGATAGAAATGTTGGGCATTTTGTGTAAACCATTTCCTGTCTGTTTTGTAAAATGTAATAAAGAACATAGAACATTATCTGAGTTTGTGATTGTTTGTATAATATATAAAACAATTTGATATAATGTATATTTTATTTTGAATACTCAAATATTTGAAATATGTGCATGGTTGCTAGGGTAATGATAGTTCTCTGTAATACTGCATGGAGCACATATCAATTTTTGAAATTAAAAAAATAAAAAACAAGGGCAAAGTACCACCTAAAGTTTTGAAGATTTTAAAAATTAATTTTAGGTCACCAATTCTGCTCTGCACTGGTAGAATTTACTAATTAGTATGTCAAAGACGAGCCCACTGTAAGACAGGTTAGTCTTGAGTTTAACTAATCCCAAATGAATTGAGAAAGAATTATCTCCTGAGCATAGACTGAGTCCATGCCCTAATTAGGAAAATTGCTTGACCAAAGGGAAGCCAAGTCGAGTGTTTTCAGTTGGTTGGTACACTTTTTCTAGGTCTCTCTGTATTGTTTGGTTTCCAAGAAAGAGGATTCCTTACATCACTACACACACGTCTTGAGCTTCTGTGTGTATCCTTCTGTTCTTTAGCTGAGTATATCAGGGATTTATACTCTGGCCAGAGAAGGTAAGGCTGTATTTATGCTTGTGCAGATTTCAATCTTTATCTTATCCAGAGACCTTCAACACGCTCCACTCTCTATTGTCTTAAAGTAGTATCAGTTTCTCTACGTTCTTAAAGAATTGCAGGGATGACAATAGTATGTCTGGTAGCACACTCAGTTTCTGTGAAACAATAAAAGAGACCAAAGATGCATTTATTTTCATTTGTAAGTGAGGCTGTTAGCAATCTCACAAGCAATTCAGCTTGTGTCACTGAAGTTTTTAATGTGACAGGATTCAGTGTAATGAAAAGAGTCAAGAACGAGCTGAATGACAAAAACTTCTGGAGAATATTATTAATATGTTTATTTTATTCTATAAATGGCAGAAATTAAGTCATGGATATAGACTGTAGGGTTTTATATCTACCTAGTATTATCACATACACCAAACTGTGTTTTACATTTGTGAAGAAATTAATTTTTATTTATCATTGGAAGATTTACTATAGTGGGAAAATGCAAGGATCCCCGAATTATCTGTTAAATACAATTATTACTATTAAATTTTACATTTTACTATATTTTAGCTACCATGTAAACCACAAAATAGTAACCTCTTAGTTTTGGTGAAAATGATTAAAAACATATGTCTATTCCTAAAGAGAAAAACCAGAGACTCAGAGGACTAAGACAGAAAAAGGTGGACAGTGCCCATATTCAGCTTTACTGCTTATCCCTCGCTGACTCCCTGTCTAGAAAGTAGCCCATCACACTGTGATCACCACACACGCTGTGCTGTCTGTTAGCTCTCAGGAGAGACTAGGAGATTACAGTGTAGAGGATGTGATTTAATGAAGTGAATCCAATAGAAAGTTTTATTTATTCTGTTGATTCTTTGAGAAGGAAGGCACTATTATGCTTTGAGATAAAAGATCTTCTTCATGAGGTTGTGTTTGTATTCAAGAAAGTTTAAAGATAAGATCACAAAGTGAACATAGTAAAAAGAAGATGTTGAAATGCTATAAGTGGCTTAGAATTCACAGAAAGTAGTTATTGACCCCCCCCTGGCTCTGTTTAAATTATTTTCTCTGGCTTCTCTTTTAATTCCCACAAATTAAGAACTTGGCTATTTTTATAACTTAAGAACATCTTGCCTTATTTATCTCTTGGCAAATACGTTTATTTCTTGGCCATTTTAAACAACACACATATTAAGGTTGAAAATAACTATGACATTCTGGAGGTGGTGGCACACTCCTTTAATCCCAGCATTTGGGAGGCAGAGGCAGGAGGATCTCTGTGAGTTTGAGGCCAGCCTGGTCTACAATAGCTAGTTCCAGGATAGACTCCAAAGGTGCAGAGATATCCTGTCTTGAACAACCAAGTAATAAAGAAAAAATAAGGAAAAGAGAAACAACTTTTAGGTTTAGTAAATATATTTGGGTGCTCTTTGTACCTCTAAAGTACAGAAGTTTGGAAAAATTATTAGAATTGAAGTTAAATGTTATATATGTGGTCTTGAAAGCATACACTATGTGAAACCATAAAATAATTTTGCATATTAGAAATGATGATACTATTAAAATATGGTTACACAAAGGTATCGTACTCATATAGAAATTATGACGTATATAGAATTTCTGTGTACAATTTCTGAAGAAGATTTAAAGTCCCACCTACTAAAATATTTTCTTTCAACAAGATGTTTTTTTGTTTAAGAGGAATTAGCAGAGATTAGAAAATCTTAATGAAACTGTTCCATGGCCTCATTTCTTTGGATATAGTAATATCAGTATTTAAACTGCTGTTTCTTTTACACTGAACTTAAAATCTTTTTTTTAAATAAATAGATTCTATTTACTAGGAATCAGCATGAGAAACCACTCTGTGATTACCGAGTTTGTGCTGTTGGGCATATCAGACGACCAAGAGCTTCAGGTTATAATTTTTTTCTTTTTGTTCATTGCTTACATATTAAGTGTGTGTGGAAACCTAACCATCATCACCCTCACCTTGCTTGACTCTCGCTTAAAGACTCCTATGTATTTCTTCCTCCGGAATTTCTCCTTCTTAGAAATTATGTTCACCAGTGTTTCTGTCCCTAGATTTCTGTGGTCAATAATTACGAAAGTTAAGACCATTTCCTACAACAACTGTTTGGCTCAGTTATTTTTCTTCATCTCCATGGGAGTGTCTGAGTTCTTTCTTCTAACCGCTATGTCCTATGATCGCTATGTCGCCATCTGCAAGCCGCTGCATTACACCGTCATCATGAGTCAGAAAGTCTGTGCCCTTCTTGTCCTCACCTCGTGGCTGGCAGGATTTCTAATCATTTTCCCATTAGTCATACTTATCCTCAAGTTAGATTTCTGTGCCTCAAACATCATCGATCACTTCTCCTGTGACTACTTCCCCATTTTACAACTCTCCTGCTCAGATACAAGGCTTTCAGAGGCTCTTGGCCTTTATGTTGCCTCCTTCACTCTGCTCTTCACACTGGCTCTAGTGATCTTGTCATACATCTGCATCATCAGCACCATTCTGAAGTTCCCATCTGCCAGCCAGAGGAAAAAAGCTTTCTCCACCTGCTCCTCCCACATGATTGTCATCTCCATCTCGTATGGATGCTGCATTTTTGTTTACGTCAAACCTTCTGCCAATGAACGGGCATCACTGACCAAAGGGGTGGCTGTTCTCAACACTTCAATTGCTCCCATGTTGAACCCTTTTATTTACACGTTGAGAAACCAACAGGTAAAGCAAGTCTTCCAGGATTTGATTAATAAAGCAATGCTTCATAGAATCAAATGAAAGCAATTATTAACATGAATAACATTGCACCTTTTCAAAATAGGAGGAATGAAACTTTTTAGTATGAGCTTATTGGTTTCAGGTTTTTTACAAAAGTATTTTGTGTGTATGGATGCTTTTCCTGCATGTACACCTGTGTACATTTCTGTTTATACTGCATGATTGGTACCTATAGAGACCAGAGGAGGGCACTGGGTTCCCTGGAAATAGAGTTATATATGGTGATGAGCCATCAAGTGGTTAGTGGGAATTGCACCAGTATACTCGGAAAGAACAGCAAGCCCTTTTAACTCCAATTCACCTGTTCAGTACCTCAACTTTCTTATAAATTTTAAAGTTACTCTGTTATGCTTTCCATTAATCCTATGTAGGCAT